GAGGATTCTAATGACCGGTGACAAACAAACGCTACCGCCCAGCCAGCACTCCAGTTGTGCAGGCGCCCTCCGTAGAGGGGCGCTGCTACCGTAATGACATTGTGTCTGTGGCTTCCTTTATTGTGGCGCTAGCGGGCAGCAGCATTGCTGCCGCAGGGATTGAACGATGGCTTTCGGTGCCATTGGGTAGCACGTCCACCGTCAGTAGTGTCACTGTGTCGCAACCGTGTTTGCATTGTGTTTCGTTTTGAAGCGACCTTGCTGCCAAAACAGGGGTGAACGACAGAGCTCCCAACGCTGTCTTGACAAGAACGCTACCAGGGACTCCGCCGTACTAGGTCGTTGCCGACAATTGCGTCAACATTTATCGTGCCCAGTTGATGCCGCCACCGTCGATATAAACGATCGGTGACGTGCTCCACCGTCTTGAGCAGAGTCGTTCCCTAGTGTTTCGTTGCGCGCAAATGGTGGTCAGCAGTGCGTGGTGGTGCACGTGTTGGAGTTTCGACGAGACTTGGAGGAGAGCATGACCGGAAACATCGCTCACGAATGGGTGGCGATACGCAAATTCGCTATCCTATCGGGTCTGTACCCGCCTAGTATGTATCGTTCCTCCGTTTATGGAATATGAAGCGCCCTGTTGTCCTACGCGTGCTCACAAAAAAACTTGTTTCAGCCTGGAATCGCACATGGGAACGAGCACTATGATAGCAGAAACCAAACTGCACGCGACACACGTGTGTCTACGATGACGAGAATGCGAAACCGTGGTTGTCCAGAACCACCAGGATGGTTCTATCACCAATGTAGTGAAGACAGGGACACCATGGCAGTGATGTCCTTGCTGCAGCCGAAGCAGGAATAATATTTTCCGCCGTCAGAGGACAGTAGGTCGGCGACGTGTGCCGTACTCATCTGACACATCTCACTAGAAGGACGAGCGGACACCGGGAGCTGCCTGAGGTATTGCAGCACAGATTGCACTCCAGTCCTTTCAGTCACTGTCCTTTCTACGTCTGAGTTCGTGCAAGGGCTTCGACACGACGTTTACGTCGACGTTTGTGACGACATACTGTACTAAGATCGAAACGTGACGTCGCGACTCGAGATGCGCCGTCCGACGTGTGAATGCATCAAACACTTCGCCTCCACAAGTCGAGGTTCGGGCGCGACGATCCTTTTCGACGCCTAGCATCAAAGGCCCACAATAATTTTAATCCTTGCTATTATTCTTATCAGGGCGTACGTTATTACGTGATTTACCCTTTGGTTTTGGCTTCGGTGCACGGTGCTCGATGCTCCTGTTGGTTCGACGTTGTTCTGATGTTGACACTTTGTGTTATGCTCATGCACGTGACGCCACTGTCCAGCCGCGGCGTGTGTCCTTGCTAGTATTCTATAGAGACAGGTTATACATCGATCTCACGTACTGGTCGTATTCCTAGTCCACGGTGCAGTGGCTTGCACCGGTGCTGTCAACATTTACGTGGGTTATGGAGAATGGGGTAGGGTAATGCGTACCGTTTACAGTACAATATTATACGTAACCTTCGGACGATCGTGGGCGCTATCGTGGGTGATGAGTCTTTTAGCAGTGCGTGTACCCGAGAGCTGAACTAGTATTCGCTATTTAATGATACCCGCAACACAGGAATGCACTCACGCCAAGCTTGTGCGTCACCACCCGTTGTCGTAAATCGTCGTACGTTCAAGCGTTGTGGAGTCTTGGTGAGCACGTTACTACAATTCTGCATGCGTGAACTAAAAGCGCAAACATTGCGACCGTCGGTGGTGGGTGTGGTGCCAGTCACAGCGGTGAAAATCGAAGACGCCAATACCAATCATTCGACGTATCTTCGATGTTTCGTTGAAAACGTCAAGCCACTTCATGGAACGAACCCATTCGCGCATGCTTCTCTTGGATAGTTGGGCGCGCGCCCAGAGTGGCGGAGAGATCCATGCGACTGGAGGCAGAGAAGAGGAGGATAGCATGGGAGGCGTGGGAGGATGCTGACGTCCCTGTAAAGGCCTTCACGGCGTTCCATAAATGCTGACTACGCCATACAAAGGCCCAGGTTACTTCAAGTAGCTGCCGTTCGGGCGGAAGAAGAAGAGTCGTTTTTCCACCGATTTTGCGCGATCACCCACACACAGCCGAGCGTGTAATCACGGGTGGGACCATGTGGACACGGGCCTGACAAGCACCACCCATGATGCTACGGAGGCCAGAATCAACAAGAAGGGACCGCCTAGCACCCCCGTACGTGAAGGCTGTAGACTGGAGCCAGCGTACTCGATCGACGTACGGCGCTGATATTTCAGAGCCGCTTAACCGTACGCTGTGCACCGTACGTACGCGCATGCGACACGTCTTCGAACTTCGATGCCACTGGGCGCGGTTTACAAATGCCAAGTGACAAGCCAACAAGGAACTTCCTTCCTCCAGCGTTCTTCTGGATGACTCAATGGCTTCGAACTTCGAACCATCTGAGTCCCAGCAATGGACAAACCCCCATTTACCTTCGCACGGGGTTTGTTTAACGCGTTTACCGTCCCCTTGTAACGATGCTTCAGACGCTTGAAGTAGAAGACGGCGACGTGGCAGAGGCAGAGTTTGCAGCCGCTTGGGAACTATGTGCACTGTGCATTTCGGGGCAGCAAGCAATCATACGCAATGTAGTGAGACTGATATGGTGGTCGTTGCTGGTCTCTGCACGACCTTGTTCGATATAAGTATACGTACACGCCTGTAGTACCCTGTAGTACGGTATTTGGGATCTACACTACGTTCTTAGCGCTTGAAATCGTGTCTATGACGAGCGGAATCTGCGCGGTGGGCTTTTCTGTTAGACCGGTAAACAAACCGCGTTTAAACCACGTCGTGTCGCAGCATGGGTGCAAGGTGGGATGCGAGGAAGGTGGATGGAACCTACGTCTTCCCGCCGCCGTGCATGGCGAAATCATCGCTACTTCTGCGCCAATGGACGCCTCTGACCACTAGCGCCCATGTGGTGTCTCTCTCGCTCTCTCCACTTCCCACTCGTTAGAAGAGCTACACGCCTCGGTACTAGTGTACTCGGTGATCCGACGAGTAGAATTCAACGCCATTCCGGTGGCTTGCTCGTGTCCTAACACGCCCAGGCGACGATTACTCTTGGGCTCCAATCGTCCCACTGTGTCGGCAGGGTTTGCCCCAAGGCGCCGTCGGGACATCCGGATACCGGTGGTGTCGCACTAGGCTGGAATAAGGCAATACCGGATACGGGTGTGTGATTACGGGGGATTGGGATATACCGACTTGCAGCCATCACGGTTATATGTGCTTCTTCGGCGAAATATCCCAGTTGCCATTTTGCAGGTTGTCGGACGCATGGTCGCGCAGTCGTGCAGTGTCGTCGCGCCGGCGCCGGACGTCGTCCTTACGCTCACCGACCTCGAGCTATCGAGCCCGCCGGCCGCGTGTGGCCGGTCCATCGCGCAGCAGCGCCAGTACTTTGTCCGCCTTCTCTGCCGCGAAGTGCTCAAAGTGCACACGCTCCTCCGCGCGCCGTTCGAGAAGCGCACGGTCATCGACACGTGCCGGTCCGTCGAAGAGAGCCTCTTCGCCGCCAACGCCGATTCCTTTGACGCGTACGTGCGCCACATGCGCACGCGTGTCCAGCTCATCGCCAAGAAGGGCTGCGCGCTCGTGCGCCAGACAAGCGACGACGACGTAGTGCAAGCGCCGACCGAGCCGACGAATGCAGCGCCGGCCACCACGACGCATGAAGAGACAGCCGCCGCGTTCCAGCAAGCGCAGCTGCGGTATACCGTGGGCGCGGCGTGGATAAAGAACCAACGCAAGCGGGCGCGCTTCCGCTGGAGTCTGGCAAGCCCGGCCGAAGACGCGCACGTCGACGCCGTCATGGCCTCGGCCCGCGCCGAAGTGCTCGCCTCGCTCCGCACCATGTATGCCGAACCCCTCGCTCTGTACGAGGCGCAGCTGCGCTCGTCGCTCGCGGTCCAACACCGGGACTGGGTCGCCTACGATCTGAGTGTTGTCCAGTCGCTCCGGGACGCGCTTCGCCCCGACGCCGAGACGGACGCCGAGATGTCGACGCTCCACACTCAGATCCAGCGCCTCCTCAAAGAGAAGGCGCTCTTCGACTACATGTGGGCCATGGAAATGGCGTCCACTTGATTATTTAACACCGCCGCAGTAGTAGGCCGCTCTCCCGTACGAATATAGCACGCATAGTTAATATAAAGAGCGCCACTTCTAGTTGAAGTACACCGTGTCTCCACGTGGCTCTTTGTCGTCCTCGCGTCGACTCGACTGCCGACTCAGACGCGACCTTCAAGTGGCGCTAATGACGCGGCAGCGTGCCGTGCCCCGGCCGCGCCCCGGCATTCCGATTCCGCCAAATCCGTGTCGACATGAAATAGTGTACGGCTTGAAGCGGCGCCGATGCAAGCCGATATACGCCGTGTGGCGGCCGCGACAAAAGGCTCGAGTGGGATAACGCCGTGGAGCTTTGAGTATTGCACGAGTGCATGGGACGAGCGAGCATCCGAGAGGCGGCGCCCTGTTGCCAGCGACACGCAATATTACACTATATCAATACGCGCCTTCAACCTGAATACGCCACGGATATAGTATATACGTTGGACCCACCGCAGAGACGTCACAGGCTCTTGCTCGTTGATCCAGCTCCAGAAAGGGCGCTCTCCCCTCAAAAGTGGCAAAAAATGCGACGTCAGAGGCGCTTGCCCCCGCGTATCGATATCTGTGGGGTTTTAGACCACGGGGATCGCCGTTTTGAAGTGCTGTTTCTCTTGGTGGCGTCGATTCAGGATACATTCGAACGATAGACAATTATGTTGTTGGCGCTAGACTACTAGAGCACGCTGCGGATCCTTGGGGACTCGTATCACACATACGTGGAGCTTGGAGCCTCTTGGCGTCCGTAGAATTGGCACGTGCGTCTCTCTTGTCCCGTGGTTTCGTACACTATTTACACTATTTCCGACGCCATGTTGCGACCTCAACTTGGCATCAAATCTTTTTTTTGTCCACAAGTCAATTCGCCTCGGTCCGTACCATGTCGGGCAAAGGAGGCAAGGGCAAGACGCCCGCAACGAAGGCTGCCAAGCAGCCAGCTCAAGCTCCCCCTGCTGCACCGGCCAAGGCTGCGTCCAAGGCCGCGCCCAAGCCCGCGTCGCCCAAGGCCAAGGCGCCGGTCGTGACGCCAGAGCTCGTAGCGCAAAAGAAGGCGCTCCTCGAGAGCCTCTCGACAAGCAAGGTGACGATGGCCCGTGATGCCAAGGCTGCGGATGAGGAGCTCGCGAAGCTTCTGAAGACGCCCAAGGCCCGTGTCCAGGGCACGGTCGCGCAGCTCGAAGAGGAAGCCAAGCAGCTCGAGTTCCGCCGTACGACGACGTCCATGTCGCTCAACGAAGAAAAGCGTGTGCTCAAGGACCTCGAGGCCATCAAGGTCCGGAAGGTCCAAGTCACCGAGTACGAGGAGTTCCAAGCGACCGTCCAGACGCTTAAGGACAAGAAGAACGAGCTCTACGATACGCTGCGCGCGACCGAGACGCACGAAAAGCTGCTTCAGGCCGAGCTCCGCAAGATGCAACTCGCGCTCGAGTTGCATACGACGCTCGACGCGTTCGAAACGATCACGATCTCGGTACCCAAGGACAAGATGGGCATGGTCGTCGGCAAGAACTACACCAAGCTGCGCCAGTTTGAAGAGACGTACCACGTGCTGCTCGACGTCGAGAACGGTATCCCATTGCTCTCTTCCATTCGTGTATCCTCATGCATGCGATAGGGACGCAGGAGGTCAAGGCGACGAGCTTGCCGAAGCAAAACGCGCTCGTGCTGGCCGCCATCAACAACATTGCGCTCGCGACGACGCAGTCGCTGGCCGTGCATCCGGACGTGCTCAAGCTGCTCATGATCCAGAAAGGTCTCCATCTCAAGGCGCTCGAGGCCAAGTGCGACGTCAAGATCGACGTGCAGCGCGCTGAAAACACAATCTCGTTCCAGGCGTCGCCCGAGCGCACAGCGCTGCTCGAAGCGACGCTCAAGTCGCTCAACACCAGCAAGGCGACCATCGACCTCCCGACCGACGTGATCCCCAAGCTCATTGGCAAGAAGGGCGAGGTCATCTCCAAGATCATGGAAGAGACCGGCGCGCTCCTCGACATTGACCGCGTCGTACGTGGCCCTTTCTTTCAATCTATCAGTGTATCAACTACTCACCTAGACCAACTGCGTGCACATTGTTGGCCCGGCCGAGAGCGTCGTCGCCGCGACCGCCCAGGTGGACGCGATCATCCACGACCAAGCCGCGACCGCCGTCAAGGTCAACGCGTCCGATGTCGCCTTCTTTGGGCGCTGGGATGCGTCGCAGTTCCCGGCATTTGTCGAGTACCTCATGGGCGACAAGGCGGCCAAGCTCAAGGCGCTGCGCAAGGAGGCTCTGGATATCCGTCTGCAAGTCAACAAGGTACACTATCAATGTTTCAAGTGAACCGCACAAATGGCGACTAGAACAAGAACCGGTTTGATGTCGACGGCAACCGCCACCAAATCGAAGCGCTCAAGGGCGCGATTCAGTCGGCGGTCGCGAGCTTCCTGGAGAACGTGCATACGTTTGATGTGGACGAGCGCTGCTTGAGCCTCATTATCGGCAAGAAGGGCTCCAAGATCAAGGCGATCGAGGCGGAGAGCGGCGCCAAGGTCGACATTCAAGGCCATACCCTCTACATCCTCGGCGAACCCGACCAGGTACGGCACCACTTGCTACACGCCGATGCTAAAGCGAGTGCAGATTCAAAAAGCAACGGCCTTGGTGGACGAGATTGTGGCCAAGAGCCAGCGGTCGGTCGTGTACACGTCATCGCACTTGACGAGCCTCTTGCTCAACAACAAGCGCGCCAAGCTCAACGAGATTGAAAAGGTGAGTGGCTGCAACGTGCAGCTGCCGCCGGCGCCCGCGGGCGGCAAGGCCCCGCGCACGAAAGCGACGACGATGGCCATCACGCTCACGGGCACGACGGTACGTCAAGATATCAATGTATCGACTTGATAGATATATGGATGTAGAGTGCGATTCAGCTCGCGTCGACGGCGCTCGAAGCACTCAACGCCGAGAACAAGGTCGTGTACCTCCCATTGGACAGCGACGAGGTCGCGACCGTGATTGGCAAGAAGGGCGAGACGATCATGAAGCTGGAGAAGGACACGGGGTGCCGTCTCCGTGTGCTGGACGACGCGTCGGATGGCGAGAGCAGCCGCGAGCTTGAGCTCATGGGCAACGCCGACCAAGTGGCGGCGGCGACGGCCGCGCTGGACGGGCTGCTTCGCACGTCGGCGCGCCAGCTCTTGCACTTGGACGAGTTCTCGGTCGCGTGCCTCATTGGCAAGAAGGGCGAGCGCATCAAGGAAGTGCGCGCGGCGCACCCGAACGTGACGCTCGACACGTTCCAAAAGAGCCAGGTGGTCCGCATCCAGGGCAACGACAAGGGCGACGTGGACGCGTGCGCAGCCGCGATTCTGGACCTGCTCCAGAACACGACGGTGTTTGAGACGATCAAGGCCAGCGGGCGCGGGCGCTTTGACGCCCTCCTTTCGGACCAGACGATCGCGCTGCACCTCGCGGAGCTTGAAGCGCAGGGTGGTGTGAAAGCCAGCGTGCTCGAGAACGGCGCGCAGGTCAAGCTCCGTGGGTCGCCGCTGGGCATCGCGAAGCTCAAGAGCTTCCTCGACATGCTCGCCGACGAGTCATCGCACTGCGTCGCGTCGATTCCGTTGTCGTCCAAAGCGCATGCGACGTCGCTGCGCGGGCCGACCGACGATAGCCTCCACGAGAATGTCCTCCAGGTTGTCAAGCAAACCAAGACGGTGATTCGCATCAAGGCCGACAAGGCGAGCCCGAGTGGCTTTGCCGTCTCGCTCGAAGGCGCGTCACTGGCCAAGGTCCTCGACGCCAAGCTCCGTATCGAGAGCCTCCTCCAGTTCTTCTTCCCGTCGCACGTCAAGGTCCTCTCGGGCGTCTCGGCCTCGGCCGTGCCCCGTCTCTTCCAGTCGCTGCCCCTCCTCGGTGCCTACCACGTACGTGTCCTCATCACTTTGGTGCTTTCGCTGTAACGGAGGGATGTAGGCGACCTTGTCGCTGGCGTCCAAAGACTCGATCAAGATCATCACTGACTCGGAGGCCAACACCAAAACGGTGCACAAGAAGCTCCAGGACATCCTCAAGGCGCATGTAAAGGAATACCATGAGATGACGATTCCTGGGTCGGTGACGCCCCTTTGTGTCGCAGGTCGCTCACCCTGTGTAGACACCTCGTGCCGCAGCTAGTCGGCAAGAATGGCGAGTCGATCAAGCGCCTCTCGAGTGAAAGCCATGCGACACTCAACTTGTCGCCCGCCGACGCCGACGACCCGTGGGCCACCCGGTCCCTCACGATCCACTCGCGCGACGAAGCTAACGTCAAGGCGGCGGTACCCTACCTGCCACTTTCGATATAGATCTGATGGCGCGTAGGTGCGGCTTGTCCAAGAGCTCTTGCATGCGTACGAAGCCGAGTGCGCGTCGGTCGTCGTGCCGCTGACGCTGCTCGACGCGGCAATGGGCCTCAAGCGCCAGAGCCCGAGTGGTGTCTCGTTCAACGTGCAGGAGAAGACGGACCTTTCGGCCACGATTCAGGTTCACGCCAAGAACGCCAGTGAGCGCGCGTCCACGGTCGCCAAGCTCCAAGAGCTCGTGGCCAATACGACGGTGCTGCAGATTGTCTTGCCGTCCAACGACATTGTCGGCTCGCTCATCGGGAAGGGCGGCGCCAACATCAAGACGCTCCAGTCCATGCACCCCGGTCTCTTTCCTATTTCAACGTGACGTTCGTCAACTCATACTACGATGCGTAGGGCTCCAGGTTGACATTCGCCGCGCTGAGAAGGACGGTGTCCAGAGCAAGGTGTCGCTCCGCGGCGACAAGGCGGCGGTGGCGGCCGCGGCCGTTTGGGTCCGCGAGAAGATTGCGTCGATCGTGGCCATGGACGTGGAGAAGCGCACGTTTACCAAGCCCAAGCCCGAGAAGGCGGCGGCGCCCGTCGACGCGCCAGTGGAAGCGCCAATCGAAACGCCGGCCAAACCGACGCGTCACGTCCCTGTGGGTGCGCCGGCGGCTCTGGACAAGAACGCGCGTCGCCGCCAGCGCAAGCGCGAAGAGAAGGAGCAGGCGGATGCTGCGGCGGCCAAGGCGGCCAAGGGCGTCCTCTCGCCGCGGGCCCACTACGGCCCCAAGTCGGACTTTGCGTCCCCCTTCAACTACCTTCCCCCCGGCACCAAGTAGAATGCTTTTTGGAGATGGAGACAACTGCGAGACTGTAGACAGCTGAATGACGACAATATCTACGTTGTACATATTGTACACAACACTAGGCGTTTTCCTGGCGCTGGGCCGCGGTCTTGACACCGGCACCAGCGATTGCCTTGAGCTCGGCGCTGTCTCTGGGCTCGGAAAACCCGAGCGCGGTGCGGGCTTCGGCCATGATAAAGACACTGCCGCAGACGACGACCACGTCGTTCTCACTGGCCGCCGCTACCCGTATCACCCTGAGAGAAGGCCGACGACGTCGCAGACGTACCGTCCATCGCAGCCGAGACGCCCGACGCGACGCTGCGCTCACCGTCGTGGAAGTGAAAACCATCGTCCTACGTCATGTCTTCGATTCAAATGTGGTGCGGGCTCGGGTTCGAACCGTCGCCGAGGGCCGGAGCGCAGCTTGAATCTCCGTCATGGTCGCACAGCGCGGGTGGTAGCCCTGTACGAAATGCACCTTGTTCGGCGTCGTCTTGGCCGTGAGGAGGTCGGTGACGTGAGCCATGTCCTTGTCGGCCGAGAAGCCGCAGACGAAGCGCAGACTTTGGCTTGGGTACCTCAGCTACCCACCGCCTTCAATGCATGCTGCTTTTGAGAGTCTTGTACCTCAAGGAGGTCGAGGAGCTTCTCAAAGGCCGGAAGGTTGTGGGCAACGTCCAGAACCACAGTCGCCTGCGGTGTCTTGACGACTTCAAAGCGGCACGGCGGCCGCGACGCCAGGCACTTGGCCACTGCGCTTGACGTCGTGTCGAGCGTCAGCTAGTACCTCTGCTCCTAAGCTCTGAAAACAAAGAGGGATAGGGAGATACCTTGGTCTTGTGCTGGCCGTGAAGGATGTTGAGCTGCACGGCCGCCATAAATGCTACGTCCGAGTTCTCGGCGTTGTAGTCCTTTGCGTGCGCCGGTGTCGGTGCCACGCACACGATCGGACTCTGCGCATTCCGCGCGTGCTGACGACAAGACGCTCAGAAATCGACTTGGGTGATGGGAGGAGCCGTACCTGCTGCATGATGTGCTGTGGCGTTTGCGGCCCGACAACCACCGGGACGTTGGGCTTCATAATGCCGGCCTTCTCGCGCGCAATCTCGGGGATCGTGCTGCCCAGAATACGCGTGTGGTCAAGCCTAGCGTATAGAGACATAGCGTCTTGGCCATCGAGGGCGAGCTACCCGATCGACGTGATGACCGAGAGGACCGGAGTCACAATGTTGGTCGCGTCCAGGCGGCCACCAAGACCGGTTTCAAGCACGACGCAGTCGACGTCTTGAGCTGCAAAGTGCTGCAGCGCCAGCATGGTCGTGAGCTCAAAGAAGGTGGCGGGAATGCCCTTGTCCTCGGTGAGCGCAAAGAGCGTCGGTAGGTGCGTCTCGACGTCGGCTTCCGAAATGAGCTCGCCGTTGATCTGGATGCGCTCGCGAAAGCACGACACGTGGGGCGAGACAAAGAGGCCGGTCTTGAAGCCCGACGCCTCCAGTGCCTTGGCGAGCTTCCACGAGACGGATCCCTTGCCGTTGGTCCCCGCCACGTGCACCGTGTCAAACCGCTACAAGAGGAGTTGAGGCGGCGGCGTCAACATGCGTGGGCGCACCGTCGCCGGCTGCCCGAGGGCGTCATGGAGCGCGACCGAGTTGCGGAGGCCCATCTTGACGGCCGCCGAGAACTGGTTGACGCCCAAGAGCCGCTTCAGCAGCACGTCATACGCGGTCATCTTCTCGTCCTTTCTTCGAGCACCACAGTCAAACGAGCCAATGAGGTTGCCGACACCCCTTCAAGGACCAATCAGAATCGGCGAAAGGGCACGCGACGATGCCATTGGCTACTCGATGCAAGAGTGGTATCTATGCATCACAAGCCGTTTCGAGGATGCACCTTCGGCCGCTGACCAAGAGCCCCGTCAAGGCGCCGCCACCACTGGGCCCGACAAGCGGGTCGCCGCGCAAGCAGCGAACGTTGGCAGCTGCCAAGGTAAGCGACGTCCGCGCTGCGCACGCATTTACTGCAAACGACCTCGTGACCATCTTGCCGGGCAACTACACCGAGTGTGACGCCAACGGCACGGGCACACTCCACGACATTCTCCTCTTTGACCAAAAGCTTCGGGATGCGACCGCCGCCGGCGTCCATCTCGAAGCCACGCAGTGGACGTCGTGGGACATGGCGCGCGCAAGCCGTGACGTCGAGCGCCCCGTCGACACGGCGTCGCTGCGCCTGCTCACGTCCAACAAGCTCACGTTGGAGATCCTCACGAGTGATCGCGGCCACCGCGTTGTACCCGCGCTCATTGCGCAGTGGGACCAAGACAAGTTTTCCGACAACGTATTATTTCCCGCTGCCTGTCGTATCGTATGAACGAAATTAGGGTCTTCGGCTCTGGACGATTCTCGACACGTTCTTCAACTCGCTTCCGTACGTATTTGTGCGCGCAGACGAGGTCCATACGAAGCTCGTCGTACGCTACGCGAGCGCAATGACGCAGCTCAAAGCTGCGCTGGCGGACGCGCTCTTTTGCTCGAACCCGTTCGTCGCAGCCGCCGTCACGGCGTCGCTTGCACCGACGCACTGCGAGAAGCTACCGTTGTACCACTACTGCCACCAGCTCGAGCGAGAGATCCAGCTGCTCAAGAATAGCTCCGCGGATCAATCCTGGGAGATGGTGCAACAACATGCAACATGCCATTTTATCCGATGCCATGTAGATCCATGCGACCGACGTCGGGCTCATGCAAGACGCGACCGCGCGCCTCCTCCTCGAGTACTGGAAGCTGCCCAAGCGCGAGCGGCTTGCATTTCTTGCCCAGATCTTTACGCACATTTCCGAAATGGAAGTCGAGATCGTTCGACTCCTTCTCGAGACGAGCACCTTTGTCCTACGCCGGGCGCTCGAAGAGCTCGGGTACGAGAGCAAGGAAGAGCGGCAGGCGCGCCACGTGCACACGATGACGAGCCTTGTCGCGAAATCGGTGACGGCGACGCTCGAGGCCAAGAAGCTCCGGCTGCAGAATGAAGCGAAGCGCAAGGAGCTTGAGCCGATCTCGCTTCGGCACAAGGGCATCCAGGTCAACCTGGACGTCGACCTCTTGCCTACGGTCGGGTCACCACCCCATACGCCAAAAGAAAGCTTGTACTCGCCACGCCGGTTTGTCGCCAACCGGGAGAAGAGTTTGCAGCTGCTCACCGAGCACAAGATCAAAGAAACAAAGAGCCGCGTGCTCGTCAAGGACCTCTGGACGGTCGCGGCGCTCACCGACAACCTTATCCACCACCTCTCTACGTTTGTCGACAATGGCAACGACAAGCACAACGTTCCGCTGCAGGTGCTCTCGATGGCGACGCTTCTGCTCGAGTGGTACTACTTGTCTGTACGAACGGTGCAACGAGGCGCGTAGGCTGCGCTTTGAAAAGACGCGCGCAGTCTCGTCGGCGAAAGAAGCGACGTTGGAGCTCCACGCCAACCCCCACTACAAGCAGTGCATGGTCAACATGCTCCAGCTCTTTATGGACCACGACCATGCACCGCTGAGCATCAAGACCGAAGCCCAGGCGCTGCAAGACTACGTTCTCAACCAACGCGCACCGGCGCACATGACGGGCAATATTCCCCGGTGCGATAGTTCCACACCTACACTGTCGAATGACATGAATGTAGCAATGACGACGCGCTGCACGCGGCACCGAGTGTGCACCCGTCGGACGTGCGCAATTTTCTAAAGCTCGGGTTCCCGGCCGAGATTGCGTCGCACCTCGTGACGATCGCCTCGGACACGACCGCGCTCGAGAAGCAGTCGCATCTGCTTCTCCTCATGGAGCAGCTCGAGCGCCACACGCGCAACACGCTGCACAAGCCATCGTCGGCCAAACCGTCGGGCTTTGGCGACCGCCCCGTCTCGTCGGAAGCGTCCGTGGCGCTGCTGCTCGACAACATCAAGGGCTTGATCGCGACGGCCAACGATGCCAACCGCGAGGCCATTGGCCACCAAGCCGCCGCGCTCGTCTTGGGCTACACGACCAGCCGCAAACAATCCTCGATGGTCTCGGGTCACATGCGGACGCTGGACGCCGAGAGCGTCTGCCACGTGCTATTGACCAAACTCGAGCACGAGATGCAGACCGGGCCGCTCCAGCACTCGACGCGGCGTGAGCTCACGCGACTGCACTCGCTCGTCGCTACGTTCGTGCACGCAGACGACGCGCCGTCGACGACCGAAGCCCTCTTGGCGCCCGACCATATTCAGAACAGCATTTCGTGGCTGGGCGCACTCGTCGCCCAAGCGCTGCTGCAAAAAGCCTCGCTGGGACCGTCGACCGGCGCGGTCTTGGACGCCTTGCACGTACGTATGGTTTATCACATGGATCATATGGACACTGTGTCTGCAATAGAGCCTCTTGATCAAGACGCAGGCCAAGATGCACGGTGCGTCCGTCCACGCGTGTTTGGCGACCATGGTCAACGCGCTCCAGCTCGCCAAGGACAAGAAGGTGCTCGCCGACTTTATCCAAGGCCTCGATGACCTCCAAGCAACACTCAAAGCACTTTTGCAGCCGTTGGGACTTGGCACGACAGTGGTCAAACCACAAGAGGCGCATTGGGCCATGCCGGACGCAGCCATCGACGCGGTGGTCGCCGACGTTCGCGTGGACGCGACGCCCGTCTGTATCATGCAGCTCGCGACCGCGCTACGGAATCTTCACGAGGCCAACGTGGCCGCGGCGTCAGCGCCCAAGCCACGCGCCAATCTCTTTCCCGGTCTCATGGCGCTGGAGAAGGACAAGGGACGGCGGCCCCACGTGCTCGGTATCTCGGTCGCCGAGCTCTCCGAGATGTTTAGCGAGAACAAGGTCGTTATGAACCTCAGCACCGTGCTCAAGCTCATGTACCAGGTCCGACGCGCTGCATGAACACGTAGCGACGAGGTGGTCGTAGATCTACCGCGAGCGGTATGAGTGCAACCTCACCGACCAAGACAGCGTCGGGTCCACAGCCTTTATCGATTTTGTGTACGACTGGTACCTTCGCAAGTACGTGCTTCGCCATCGCGACCTCTCGGACGGAGCGCGTAGGTATGGACTCCGGAAACTAGCGATGCAGCACCTCTCCAAGCTCCTTCTCTCGCTCAAGAAGCACCGCAAGCACAGCAAAAAATGTCTTTTGTACGTACGTCCTCGAGAATGGACACATTGTCTGAGAAGCGTCTAGGTTTAGCCGCTTTTTAGGCGTCGAGATATCCTTTTCCCCATGTTTTGGTTGCGTGTGAGTAGTCGCGACAGGTCCTTGACGCAGTGTACCTCCCCGCATACGAGTACGGAACACTCAACTTTGCTTTGGTACAACAAACCGAGTGGGAATAACGACTGACTCTCAACTAGGGACTTTTGCATCTCTGGACCAACGGCTCGTTCTTGCTCAACGCGAACACCTCTGCCAAAATGCCGCTGGCGACACTGCTCTCGATGCTCGAAGACAGGTATCAATCAATCTATCAATCTATCGACGGACGCGTCGTTAGCTATGACAAGCGGTTCGGGCCTTTTTGCTCCACCGAGCAGATCAAGGCCAAGGTGACGGCCAAGACGTGCGTCGACGACGTGTCGGTCATCGACCAAGATGTGGCCCTCGAAATCGCCCTCGACGAATTTAGCGCCATGAAAGTCATCGTGGAAACGGTGTCGTCCGCAGAAAATAAGACAAGTTGTCTATAGTTTGCCTGACTAGATGCTACTCGACATTTACGCGGCCGGGGACGTGCTCGGGCAAGACGACATGGGCTACGACGAGTTCTCCATCGTGCTGCACGACCTCGCGCCGTGCATCTCGGACCGTGACACCGCACGACTCTACCGCGACGCCGTCGCGGATGTGTCGCTCGGCACGGTGCCCCGGGCGCGGTTCGTGGCGGTCATCCTCGACAACGGCGTGCTCTCGACACGCCAAAACAAGTTCAAGGCGTCCGGGGCCGCGTACCCGACAGTATTTTGAATATTGCAATTGAGCTTGGTCCAAGCCATGGTCGTAGGAGTACGAAGACGACCAGTTCACGGCACTCGACGAGACGTGGCAGGCCACCGAGAGCGACCTGCTCGCCGCCGTGCAGCGGATACCCCACGCCGAGACCGCTGCGTCGCTCACCTTGCGCGTCCGCATTCTCAAAATGGTCAACTTGTCTGCGCAAATGGCGATATGACGGAAACGGCGTTAGATTATCGCACGGAAGATCGACTCGGAGACCGCGTGGGTCGCGTACCGTACGATTGTACGGGATGTCAACCGGTTTCGGGACCTCCAAGCAGCCGAGATTGCAGCCATCAAGGCCAAAGAAGCCACGTTCAAGGACGCTGTCGCGCGTCTCACGTCGGTCAAGTTCAAGCTGCTGCGCAAAGGGTCCGCCACCAAGACCGAAACCAATCCCGCCAGTACGAGCGCAACCTCGGTCGTGGCCTTTGTCACCGAGTTGGACGAGAACGCGCTCGAGATCGACGCGCCTCCAGCGGTGGTCGCGCAGCTCGAAGAAAAGCTCCGGGACGAGCTACTTCGACTCTCGGACGCCGCGGACGCCTCCAAAATTGAAGCGACGCTCGACTCGTACGGCGTCGCTGTGCAGAAAGTACGGCGCGTGAATGAGAAGTATGCCAAGATCCTGCGTCGGGTGACGGTGGCGATGAAGGCGCTGGGACCAACAACGACACCAACAACGACCGAGTCGGACACCAACGACATGGACGACGGAGGCGACGCAGGTTGAGCTTTGTGTGCACCGTTTAAACACTGGATCGAAACAAGATTGCTCGATGTTAAAAGCTCAGTGCACCGTAGCCAAGCCCCGCGGGGGGCGGCGATCGCGCATCGTGCAGACGCGGGGGGGCGTCGGCTTCGGCGAGGGTCGTTGCTACTCCAAGCGTGAGTCACTGGAGATTGCGAAGTAAAAACTACCTTGGAGTTGCTGCTCGAGCATCGCAGCGTAATCGGTCGGCTGCGCGGCGAGCATTGGCGACTTGGGCGTCGACGTCGATGCAAACGCCGTGGTCGGGCGCGTCACGGGCCCGTCGAGCTGCTTGCAGGGGCAGTCGCAGTCTGAGACTGGGCACACATCGTGCGTGGCGAACCAGTCGGTCATGTGATGCGCGTGGCCGCCTACCCCCAACCCGTCGACTAATTAACGAAAACCAAGAGTCGTACCGTGCTTGCACGTCTGGCACCACGTAAACCACTCTGCGAATGGGATGCTCGAGAGGTCGGCGAGGCTGTCGGCGTGGCTGCTGTGGCTTTCATGCTCCAACTTGAGTTTGTCGCCTTTGCGGAGCGCAAGCTCCAAGTACGGGTTGAGGGCGCCAAACGGCAGCAAGCACAGTGCGCACTGTGGCAAGGGCTTCTTGCAGCTCGGGCAGTTGTTGAGTTTTGGCTTGGCCTTGACGAGCCAGTCGCCGTTGCCGACACGGAGCAGCGACGAGAGCGCGAGCGACGACCCACAAAAGTTGCAGCGTACGTACATCTGCGGCTGCGGGAGGTTCATTTGCGCGGGCGCGGCGCCTCCGTCCGGCGACGAGAGCGCCGTGAGCTGGTCCATGAGCTGGGCCCGGCCCACATCAAAGAGCGCGCGCTCGTGGAAGAGCTGCCATTGGTTGAGCAGATCGCGGTACAATGCGATCCACGTCGCCATCATCGGGTACTCGCTCGGCACGACGCGCGCCGCCAGCAGCGCAATCGTTTGGATATCGCCCGTGCGATCCAAGTACTCTTGGAGCAACGTGGGGTCGAGGCCAATGAGGAGGAGGCCCTGGAGGTTGCCGTCGCGCACGCAGCGCTCGACACAAGTGTCGATAAAGCGCGTGAGCGCGTCGAGCGGAAGGAACCGACACGCAAACGCGGTGCGGTCCGAGAGGAGCAAGGTCTCGTCGTGCAAAATAGAGGCAAAGAGCGGCGGCCCGTCGTCGACGACAGGCATGAACGACGCGCTCGAGTTGCGCCGGAGGTGGGCGGCCACATTGTTCTTGGGCGGCCGATGCAACGGCGTCGACGTGGACGCGGCGAGGTCCTTGGCCGTGCTCAAAAACGAACAGAGCGCGTGGAGGTACCGGGGCGCGCCGCTCGATTGGACCTCGGGGCGCTTGAGGAGCTGCAAAATCATCGAGCCCCAGAGTGCATTCGTGGTCGGCCCGTTCACCGAGTAGCCTGCGATCGCCATGGCCACCAGCTGACGCAGATCGCGGTGCGGGTCCGAGTCGGCGCCCCGCTGGAGCACCGAGACGGCCGCAAGGAGGTCGCCGTGAAAGACGGCGAGCGCCGCCGCACGGTCATAGTCGTGCGTCGACTCGCACTGAGCCAAGAGCGACGAGAGCGACGGCAAGGACGCGGCGAGGGGCGGGTCGTCCATGTAGTCTTCGTTGAGCGAGGCCCACGACCCGTTGTTGAGCTTTGTACGAGGCATCGCCGATGCGTTGAGGCCTAGCCCGCACTCGGGGTCCCACTGGCACGCGAGGAGTGCGGTGCGCCGTCCGAGGCTGTCGTAGACGAGGCAGCCGAGGTTCGGGTCGCGCATCGACGTCTCCATGGACGAGCTCGAGAGCGCGGGGGCCTTCGAGAGACCGAGAAGGTGCTGAACCCCAGCGTTCATGAGGGCTTGCGCGTCGATGGGCCACGCGCGGAGCGGGCCGCGGTGCAAGCTCGATGTCAACAATCCTATTTTGTATCAATCTACCAAGTTGATACAAAAAGACACAACGTACCGCGCGCGTCTTGGCTGTGCATGTCCAAGGTCGCAATCGCGTGTCGCCGCAGGGCCTCGACTTGCTCGACCCACATCCACACAAAACGCAGATCGCGGTTGTCTTCCTTGACGAAGATCTGCAGCGACGTGAGCACGTTCATCGAGTAGCCGGCCTTGACGCGGCGCACCATGCGCGCCGCAATGTCGTCGTGGCCCCGGCGTTCCGGCACCTAGCACAAACACGAGAACGGTAAGGTGGGATCCGGCGCCAGAGACGACGAGCGTACCCCCGACGCGTCGGCAAAGAGGAAGTTGCCGCAGCCAAAGCCGAGCTGCCCCGTCGACGCCAGCGCCAAAGGCATTGTATCGTGGATCGACACGTTCTCCAATTTGCCCGTGATCGACGCGGTCACGAGGCGGTCCGGGTTGGCAACAACATCGGCGTTGGTGACCGCCCGCCACGAGAAAGCAAACACGGGCTCCTTGGTCGACCGCCGCTTGACGGGCTTGCGCAGCGAGCCCGAGGGCTGGTCGACGTCCCAGAGCGAGATCGATCGATCGTCCGAGGTCGTAGTCGCGAGAATACCGGGCTTGGTCGGCGACCACGCGATTTGCGTAATCGTCTTGCCGCTTGGGTAGATGGACACGAGCGGCTCGGGCGCGTCGCCCTGTCGGATCGAGCGGATGTCCCACACTTTTACGGGCTCTTTCGGGTCGTCGCTGTACGTGGCGAGGATGTGCGGACGGTGCGTGTCGAACACGACGCCGTAGACACCTAACCGCGATGGCGAAATCGCTCTCTAGCGCCATGTAGCATCCTCAAACCTTTGGTGTGTGCCGAGACGACCATGGGCGTTGTCTTGGTGCGCAGATCGTAGATGCGGAGCCTAACGAGAGGTCACTTGGCATATAGTCGAGTAGGGTGCCACAGACCATTTGAAGCCCGTGCCCGTCGCGAGGTACGACGGGTCGGAGGGCAGCCACGCCATGGCCACGATGGCCTCCGCGTGCGACAGCTCGTGCGTGATCATGGGCTTGGTGAAAAACGAAAAACCTATTTGACCACGTAGGTACGCCTGTGGAGTCGATGTTTACCGGCGCCGGACCGGCTCTGAAAATGGTTTTGCTTGGACTCGTAGTGGGGCGGATCTACGGACCCTGGTGGAGGTTAGAAGCAGCAACGGGGTGCGTACCGGCGAGGATCGGGCCCGCGGCAAGCGACGTCATGGGCGTTTGCGTCGTGAGGTCCCACACGAACGCGCAGCAGTCGACGCGGACCTTCTCAAACCCGGCGGCGATCTGCGTCGGGTTGTGCGGGTTCCATGCCACCGTGTTGCACGCAATCGGCGTGTGCATGGATGGCCGCGACGACTTGAGGCCCGGCATGGGCTGCAGTAGGTTCGTTGAGCTTCCGGACGTGCGCGATGGCATGAGCTCGACGACGGTCTGGCTAAAATCCGACAAGATGACCTTGCCCGCGCCGACGCCGGCCGCGATGAGCTGGCGGGGCAGCGGGCACCACTGCAGGCTCTTCACTTGGGCGATGTCCGAGTTGGTTTGCACCATGCGGAAGATATCCTTCTTGCGGCGGGCGGTCGTGACGTGCGGGAGGCTGTGCAGCATCGTGTCGACGTCAACGCCCATGAGGTCCATGCCATTGCCCGCCATCTCGCGCTGCGTCTGGCACTCGTAGAGGCTCAGCGAGTCGGCGCCGGCCGCGAAGAGCGCGCTGTTGTACGGGCACCACTCGACGAGCACCTTGGGGTTGTACGGCTTCGTGCTCATCTTGCCAAATATGCCACTTCCGCAAGCATTTTACCCATATAGAGTGGATTTAACCTGCAAAAAACCTAGGCAACGGCGTTCAAATCCGCCATTGGCCAATATGAGAGCGAATAAGCCAATGGGAGGCGAGGTAGGTGGCAGGACGGCAATTCTGCAATGTGGCAGCAGCCGCCGACCACCTGGGACGACTTTAGCCGGTGGGCCGCGCCCGTGCTCAAGGAGACCGCGCCCATCGAGGAACTCAGCTATGCCCACTCGCGCTCCATGACGATCCTCAAGGCGCTGGAACGCGCCAAGCTTTTGTCCACGCCCGGCGTCCAGCACAAGAAGCACAAAACGACGGTCGCGCCCACCAAGAAGAAGCTCGTGCTGCACATTGTTGGCGCGGATCAGCGCGAAGGAACCTCCGTGCCCGCGACGCTCAAGGTGTTTGAGGTGCTGCTCGCTGCCTTTGGAAGCGCGGGCCAGCCCGACCACGGCTACGAAGAACTCGTGCTCGTCCTCATTGGGCCTAACGTCGAGCAGCGTCTACATGGCACAGCGTCCACGAGCGCGATCCCCGGCAGCGACAAGAGCGTCTGCGTCGTGTACGCGTCGGAGCTCTGGTCGGAGCACCTTGCAGGCCCGATGTATCTGTCGCCGTCGGCCATTTTTTGCTTCAACGCTGGCGTGTGGGGCTACGACGAGTGGCTTCCGACGTTTGCGCTCATGATGACCGAAGAGCCCAAAACGCCGATCGTCATCACGTCGTACAACGCACTCGAGGCGATCGACGACGCCGACTGCCTCGACGATTTGGAAATGGCGTTTGTCTGGCGCTGGCGGCACGAAGTGAACGCATTCTGGTGCCTCACGCAGCGCGCGACGCAGCACACGCTGCCGGACCGCGTCTTGAACGAAAACCAGTCGTGGCAGTGCATCGCAGCGACCCCCCACTAACGTGCATTGGCCTGCGTCGGTCGTTGATAGGCCATCAATAAACGTATAAACTTTTTCGTGTGTAGCGACGATATATGGCATGCTTGCAACCCTCGACATTCGATACGCCATAGCGTCAGACAATAAGCTGCGAGGTGCTGGAAATAATTCCAGCATTTTTCATTGCTTTCTACATTTTGGCCACGCACCGCTACGGCAGGCGTGAGGCTTGTCGATTCCGAATCGAATCTTTTGCAATTTTCACCAATCGCTGGGATATTCTCAGGGGCGCTTTCTCTAGCTCTAGAGAGGTCGTATGCCAACGTGCGTGGCTATCAAAGACTTGCAAGCATATATATAACTCGCCAACGATTTTTTTCCAGCATATTTCGTCTAGATATTCAACGCGAGCCCATGCATGGCGCTCTCAGCCTTCATAATTCTAGACAGATGTCCTTGGCCACTGAAATGACCCCAGCGTTGTGGCTACGCGCATATAGCGTGGTTTCGAAAATGCCATTTTATTCTAATCAATGCACTGAAAAATCACACAGGAATAACACCTAGTGAACCTCACTAGCGACTTGTAGTGGGCCGTTGAAAATAATCCCAGCATTTTCCAATATTTACTTGACGCAAAGCTTGTTGCCGTCGCTGCGCTTGATCTTGAATGTCGACATTGAGTTATCAATGTCGACCTCAAGTGGTCAAGCGCTTTTATAGAAGCGGCAATGGCGGTGCATATGTATCCGGAAGCTTATCCGGATGAAAGGTGCTCGGCGTCGTTGCTCGGCAGCGTGGTGACGTGGTTTGAAGTTTTTTATGGAGTCGTATGTTTTGTTCGATAT